GTCAAGAAACATTGTAGAGAACTCTGAAACGTTTCATCTTGCAGCGTCTTGTTCGATCTATGATCACGTATGACGGGAACGAATTCTATTCCTCATTGGCAGGCGCTGAAAAACTAGAGGTTCGGTTTTCTAGAAATCCTTAAAAACTTTTTAATATCTTACGATCTCTTATCCATCTATTTTTTGTGAAACTATTAAATGATACTGATTACCAGTAGCAGCTGTGATCATCTTTATAAATTACACAATACGTTCTCATTATGTATCTTTTCTATTTGTAGGAAAACATTTTATAAAAAAGAATAACTTGTTATCAATTGATAACTTATGGAATTCATTACAAGATATTTCCCAAAACCTTTCAATTTCATTTTTTATGTATTTTCAGCAATCGTTCTACAAGTTATAGTTCGAAAAAATTTCTAACGACTCGCCATTATCTAGAACACTGCGTCATCAATGCCAGATTTTACTACAGCAAAACACATGCAAAGTATGGATGCCGAATTCGTAAGGGACCGACTGCAGAAATGCTATACTTTGCACCGCATTAATTTCTATTCGACATCTTCACCAGAAAACAGAATGAGTACTTTTTTAAACTTAAATCCATACCACACCTAAGATACGACAAAATACGGTCTTAGATACCACCTTGAAGTAATACGTGATAGAATAATAATAAATTGATTTGAAGGCTAATGAAATTTTATCGATGTATTTTGTTAAATGATGCACAAGAAAAGCGAGAGACAAAGAATAATGCGACTAAGTGAGTAAATGATTGGGAAAAGATACCAGTCAAGAAGATATTGAGTAGTGCGGTAAAGATGAATACAATGAAAGAAAAGAGTTGATGAGGTGAGTATCAGTGAAGAAGGTGAATATATAATGAAGAACGCATATAGTAATTAATGAATTCTTATAATTAGTAAGAAATAACTAGTCACGATCAAAATAAAATGAGTGCGACAAAGAGTATAAAATAACAAAATAATCATAAACATGAATAATAAACGATATACGACAAGAAGATAGAGAGAATTTAGGTGATGGCTAGTATTGCGACAGCTCCCCCCCCCCCCCTTCATGGTTTCGAAATCATTTAGATTCTTGTTTTTGTTCGAACTACTTCTTTATGTTAGTTAGTAAAGTATCATGCACTGATTCATACTAGATGAAAACTCATTTCATATGACGAACTCACTTGATTAAATCTATAATGAATTCAGTATGTAATGAATAAATAGGAAATTGCTTTGAGCTTCCATCTCAAAAAGACTCTCGGATACAGACCGTAACAGCTAAAATCAATTCCTGCATGAATTGTTCATGCTCACTTTTCTCCTTAGCAAAACCTTCAGTCATAACTAATATTTTCATAAAAAAGTACTTGAATATCAGGTACGTTGACAGTAAAAGTTTTGAGTCCAATGAATATATTTATTGATAAGATATGACTGTCATAAAAATTGCAAAAGGAAACATCACAAAAAAATGTTTTGTTTCTGATGATAGGATTCCCGGAAAAATTTAAATTTTTCCAGAATGAAATAATATTTTTTGAAGGGTTTTCGCAGAAACTCATCAAACACTTTCCTTAATAGACATATGTAAAAATTAGCCAAAGCGACAATCATCGACAGAGTAGCTTTTCTGGAAATGGATGGTAATTTTACTCAAACTGGTTCATGTATATATACTAGGAGAATTTTTGTTGATGTCGAGGGTGGAAAAGTCGTACTTAATTCCAAAGCAGAAATTCATATATCGCTAATAAGAAACACAAATTCTGATCGAAAGGCAGAAGGATATCGAATACCAATGAAATTGTTGGACAACGGCAAAATATACAATGCATGCATACTTCAATGGTTACTTTCATTGTTTACCTTAGGATACTTCTCATGTAAATTAAATATCTGGATGAAGGAACAATTTAAGAAGCTGAAGTTCTTGATGCTTTCGCATCTCGCTAGTGACTACATACAGGTCCAATTTTATTGAAGTCTACCATATGAATTGAACAAGTTTGATCGTTCCCATCATGCAATGACTTCTAATGTACACATATCGCATGTCCTTTGAAAGTTTAGGATTAAATATTACTGCAAAAAAGTATAAATATTAAACAAAATCATTCAAAACTACATTTTTTAACTGTTAATTGACAAATCTTTATTTCAACTGTCGCTTTGAAAATATCAGTATTTCATAAAAATAATCAAAATCAACATGAAAATAAATAAATAAAAAAAGAAAGATACACAAAATTAAATATGAAATCCGAGCATCAATACATGTCAATAATTATGTAGAAAATCAATTATTGCTTAAGATTGGCTACGAAAGCCACATATAAAAATATGTCTATTTATTTTTGAAGAGTATGACAAGGATTACTAAGACGATATTGCAATAATTCAACACCATTTACATACCACCAAATAAACGCACCTAATGATGAAATATGCCAAATTTGATGACTTGCAAATATAAAGTCAAAATAGCCTAAATGAATAAAACAAAAGAAATTTCATTAGAAATTTCTTTTATATTAAATACCAGGAAAAAGTCTTTCAGGAAATTTTGTTAAATAGGCAGTGGTTCCAATGGCCAATATTCCATAAAGTACAAACAATTTTGGAAAAAAATGTTGAACGAATTGATTTGACCAGCCACCATGAAGATAATACCAATGTAAACCTGGCAAAAAGCCAAGAAGAGATATTGCCACAAATAAAGTAATATGAATATTTCGTGTTACATATCGTTTTACAGCGTGTACATAACATATAACAGCAATAAACATTATACAAATAATTATTGTTTCATATCGTATTCTCCAATGATGATAACATTCAAATGAAATATGAAGACCACATAAATAACAACCAAGAATACCAAGTCCAATGCCACATAAATCGATTTTGAGAAAATCTGCAAATACTCGTGATGATATACAACCAAACAGATGAAATAAAACAGAACATAACATGCATATCTATCATCATAGTATATTAATAATTTGAAAATCAAAGGAAAGAAAATTTAAAAACTTACAATCACAGAAAAAGTATAAAATAATATAAAATAATAATCTGATGTTGATTTGAGAAATGGTAATGCAGTTCCAATATAAATATCACGAAAGAAAAAGTATAGAAAAACTCCAGCGCCAATTAAATGTGACCAAACATTTACGGATTCATTATTCAGATAAAGTAAACTGAATGAAAAATCAATAAATAAATTTGAAAATTCAAGTTAAAATATATTTACCTAAGTAAACAATCTTTAAAATTTAAACCATATCGATAACCAGTACGAATATATGGATTTGATTGCAGATATTCAGGTATCATATCAAATGAATATAATTGAAGTCCATTTGATTTATTTTCATATTGATATGGCTTATCAAGTTTTCGATGTATTCGATTTCGACGCATATCATTGAGAATTTAATCTACAATAAATATGATAATTGTTCATGAATGGTTACAGTTAATGAATCAGGATTTTCTTTAAAATTAATGTAACTAATTAGATCTATTGGTTACGGATGCAGCAGTCTAGACATGCATGCCTAACATAACGATGAAGACGGTAAACAAATATTAAAACTATGATGATCTTAGATTGATTTCGAATTTTTCGGTCGAAGGAGATTTATTTTAAAAGAAAACCTGAATTTTATAAAACATGACTTAACTACAAGAGTAGTCATCTGCATCACGGTCATGATCACGACCAGAAAAAGAAGGAGATTTATCACGATAGACTTTTCCAACGAGAATAGAAGAATAAGTCTAGTTGAACATTTGATCGAAGCTAATCTCCTTTTCAAAATGTCGTTTCAAACTTGAAGATAAAATAGTCTCCATCGAAGAAAAATACTGTTAATTGGTCATGACCAATGCGCAACATGTATCTCTGCGAAAGATTGTTCTATCTTTGCGTCTTAAACAGCATTTTGAAGAAGAGAGAATTATGAACAAAAAAATTCAACTTGACTTATTCTGTTAGTCTCGTTAGAGAAGGCTTTTATGAAAGACTTTTCAAGTTTTTTGGCCACGAGTGCGACCACGATGCAGATCTTTACGTAAGAATTAAATCTTTCTTGAACGAGAAAACTAAACTTGAGAATTTCAACAAAACTCCTTTAGAATAGAATTCTTGGACTACGAAAACCTTTAGGCTGCTTTTATAAAATATAGATGTTTTCTTGAAAGTCTTGTCAATCGAAAAAATCAAAATCAATCCAAGGTCAACATAGTTTCATCATGCGTTCATCGTTTTCACCATTATTCTATACGTACCTGTTTAGACCAGTGCACGGGTGAAGCTGAACATCAGACGTACAGCGCTTCATCACCACTGTATCCCTACGGTTGATGTATCGAAAGAAAAAACTTTAGAATGAAGCTAAATTCATCATAAACCAATTGTGAGACAGCACTGATATCTGCATTCCTATGAAGATTGAATTATCGCTTTCAATGAAGTCATTAACTGTGGTTGTTGAGTTCAGAATCTATTATTCGGTACTACTTTTAATTACATCTTGGAAGATCATTCGAAGACTTCGGCTTTGAATAAATGTGTAAAATTTGCATTAGCTCCAAAAATATGAGTTAATATCGATGCTTACAACTATCAGAAAAGAAATAAGTCTGAGAATAGAATCATATATTATTCGATTGGAAAATATTATTCATTAGTACAGTAAATCAAACCTTTTTTTCATTAGAAAAATCGTTTGGCAAGATCTACCTAATTTCCCTTGAGTGTACATATACTTTTGTCCTCATGAGTGCCAACTGAGAAATAACTTAATTTTTCAAGTAACTCAGTATACACATTTCTCACTTTAATTAAACTTAACTTTCTTCTGAATGTAAGGTGCTATTTTGAATAATCAGAATGAAGTTAGATCAGCTGTTTTTTTTTCTTCTATGTTTTATTTTTAACAATAATAACGATAATAAAGTAACAATTTATGATACTTCAGTTTCTTGTAATAACATTTTTGGAATACCTTTTAAAATTGGAAATTTACGACCAGTTTCAGGACAAATAAGTTCACCTTCTTCAACTTCATATTCAAGCAAAATTTTATGCATTTTTCTAAGAAATTCATCATCATGTTGAATTGTTTCTGATAGTGTCTCTGGTAATAATTCCTTCAAACCAAGCTAAAGTTAAAAAAAATGCATTATTATAAATTTTATTCTCAATTAGAACTTACATCCGTCACAGCTGTTCGTAAAGCATCATATTCAATACGTTGAAGAATACGAGTAATGAAGTCTCGATTATAATCTACTGATACATTTTCTATTTTAATAGCATTAATTTTTAATGGAAAACCTTTCGTCACTCCTTTGAGTATATTTGATGTAAGCATATTATGTGTAATCAACTTCATTCTTTCTTTCTTTTTTTTATCTAAAAAAGAATTTTTTTAAATCAACAGTACATTTACCAGAAAAAATGATTAGTTCTGTCATTTATATCAGTTGACAACTACCATTACTAACGTATTTTGCTATTGATTTAATTCCAAACGTAAATAACATTAATGAGTGCAAGACTAAATATTGAACAAGGTCCTGGAGGCTTCCGATGTCAATATTAATCATATAAAGTCAACAAAAGAAACATGTGTATTACATTTTACTCATATTATCAAGTTTATCTAGTAAAGAAATGTTTTCAACTGATTCATCGCTTTTAAATTCGGACTCAGTACATAAGGTAAACTGTAATAAAAATTACAGTTCACAAGAAGATTTTCTTTCTAAGATATTCAAGTCTTCTAAAATAAAAAACCTCTAGCATCTTTCGTAGAATATGAATAATTTATACGATTTTGATATTTTGTGAAGAAACAATTCTCTGGAGGTTTTTACCTGTCTCACTGAAGTCTACATTACGCACAGAGTCCAAGTTACAAAACAATTGATCAAGTTGAAAACGTTTCATCGTAAGTTTGACAAGTTATGGATTGAATAGGATATGTAAAGTCACTAAAACTTCTTTCGAACCTTGATAAACATATCATATAAAACATGTATTTCTAGAAAATAAAATCTTGCAAAGGAACGTTTTCAACTAATCAATCTCTTTCGCACTAGAAGTCAATAAATTCCAAATTATCAAATATTGCTGGTTTCCAATATGATCATAAGTAATTCTTTTAGATTTTTATATATTGGTTTTTCGGATTGATCAAGTGTTCGTCAAAAATTTGCATCTGTCCAGATTATAGTACATATCGAATCGCCTAGAAAACAGTCACTTTTTCTATTTGAAATATTTTTTTTTTGCAGAAAATATAACTTTTTAAATTCATAAAATAGATACATAGTAATATTTTAATTTGAAAATCTTCAAAATAATATTATTCTACTTAAAACTCAGTTTTTTGAAAACGGGACAGATTATTGTTTCATAGGCAACTCCATAAGCTCTATAATCTGAGTAGATCAAAAATGATTTTGGCGAAATGTCAATTATCATCGCAAGCCGGTTTTCTAGAAAACCCGTATGGTCGATAATTCGATAGTTTTTGGTACAAAAGCAATTACTCCATTGAAAACGTTCCGTTATAAGTTTATTAATTTTTACTTAAAAAGAAAACCTCCACAAAACAAAAAGAAGGATAAATTTCTATAAATACATAGTTAATAAGAAGAAACGTTTGAAGATGAGTTTTCAATGGTGACAATATTCATTCCGAAAAAGAAAATAAACGATAACATAAATGTACAAATGAATATTTCACTCAACTTATTTACTTACTTCGGAATGAGTTTACAACATAATATAGAAAAAAGAAAGCAAACACAGCTATACCAATAACATAGCACATAAATCGTCGATCACCTTTTCCACTTGACATAACATTCCCTAAATGACGAGAACTTCCACCAAGAAAGCTACGTGCTGTATCAAAATCGAAACGCTATAATAATAATAATAATAATAATAAAATTTTATCTTGTTTTTAAATTAGATAAGTTTTACCATTGATTCAAGAAAACGATTGTGTTCTTTTGTTTCATTGTCAATATCAATTGCAATCTTAGAAATAAAAATAAAAGTAATATTTTATGTAATTAAAATTTAGTTAAATATTAACTAACATTTTTCAATCGAGAAACTTTAGCAGATAATTGTTCTGTATGCAAATCGTTTTTACTTTCCAAAGGATTCATTAAGTGAATTAATGAGATAAATCTAAAATATAAAGATTTTCTAAAACTATATACTTCATATCCTTGAAGAACCATCTTGTAAAATGATATTTTTTTTTCTGCATTCTTTAAAAAGCAAACACAACAATAACAAAAGTAAATACTTGAATTCTATCGAAACATGCAACTCCGTATGAGAATCTTGAATGTTACTTTTTTTTAGCAAAGTTAAATACAATTACATTCGTAGCAGAGATTTTTGAAACCATTGAATACATCTACCAAACCATCGAAATAACATTAATTAATAATGATCATGAAATTACACACTTTTAACTAAAGCAGCATCTGTATCATTCTTAAAATCAATAAAAGTTATTCCTTTTCATCCAAATGCGATTGGAACATCATGATGACCAAAAAAAATTGACGAAAAAGTACTAATACTCGTGTTGTTTCCATTACTAACAAAAAGTGTTATCATTGAAATAATAGTACTAACTAATATTGTTTGTCCACCAATCACATAGTGGTAATCCATTTGTAATTTGGCTGCAGTTTCTACAATAACATTCGTAATACAATTCATTTCTTCAGAGTTCGTCAATGCTACAAAGAAAGTAATTGCATAAATTCTGTTTGTAGAACTTTCTTCATAGGGAAATAATTGATTACTATAATGATTTTGTTGAAATATTCGATCGTCATGATATGGAGAAGAACTAATTCTCAATGTATATAAGATAGAGATCTAAAATAATGATTTGACTGATACTCATTCTTATATAAGTAACATTCTTTTAGAACAATAGTTAGTTTTCGTTTAACCCAATTGCAGATAGACTAGGATTCTGATAGTTTCATATCAGCCTCTCTTAAAGCATCTTTTGTACTAGCTCAGACGTACTTTACTAGAGCTAAAGCTGATAATTTTCTTTTGTTTTTTATGATAACTGTTATAAATCATTATCTTTAGTCGATACTCAATGTATTGTTCGAAAATTTTTATCTTAAGGAAAAATTTAATGCATAACCATATGTTGTTCATGAAGGGTACAATTAGACGGTAGTGAAGGTATATGTAGGGTGCCTTTATGTTAGTTCAGTTCTGGCTGATTGATTGCCGCTAGAGAAGTTGTCTTTTTAGTTATTTTGATAAATGTATGACATCTGAATCACATTTAGCTGAAGATATAAATATTAGGTTATCATAAAAAAACATTATACCTTGCAATTCGTGTAAAGTACTTGCTGAATTTTGTATATCATCAAAAACAAAAAAAAATGCTTGTCCACGTATTTGAACATAATGTATAAAAATAATAACAATGAATTATAATGTGATTTTATTTTATTTTTCCATTTAAATTCTCTACATAAAGCCGATGATTAGGTGGAATAAAATTTTCTGTTGATGTGTTTACTGCTGTACTAAATATCTATAATAAATATAAAAAGTATCGACACTATCTATATTTAAAATCATATCCAAGACAATACACTATAATCTTTTGTTTTTTGTTATCAGCATTGGTTCGTATGACATAAATTAAGAATTTTTTAAACGAATATAATCAATGAATACCATTGTCCACGTCTATAAGGCGAGCTTCACAAAAAGCATCAAAATGTTTTTGTTGAATATTTGATATAAATAATCAGTAAATATTGATGAAGGTAAAACTGACTAATTCATTATTATGGCATTTGAAAACATTGTGCCGTTAGTAAACTGATTTGTTTTTGTTTAGTAGTTAATTATTAATCATATTTTTTTAGTCCAAGGTTTTTTATACCGGTTTTTAAATAATTAAATAATTTCTATGGATTGTTTTTTTAATGAAGCTTGGAATTATTGATTTGGAAAGGGAATACTCAAAGAAACATCCGTTATTTTAATAGTTTCCTTTTGATATAGAAATCAATCTAATCTAGATTTTTGTATTAATGAGTTTACCAAATAATGAATGAAACGTAAAAACAATATTCATGGGAAACTTTCGATTGGATAGTTTATAAAGACTATGAGGTTTATCTATGTGCTAGAGGTCGCATTCTATCGTTTGGATTATAGAGTTTGATATTTTCAATATGAGAAAAGACCAAAACACCAAAATAAGGATATGAACAACGAAAAAGCTTAGATTGACCATTTGCTAAACAAATGTTTTGTCAACTTCTATCAGCATAATCTTTAACTATTCATTGTGAATATCAAAAGCACAATTGTGATACTATAAGGCGACCGAAAAGTTTCGACTCCTCTCAGTAAATCGATATTATCCATGACAAGCTTACAGGGTGTCTCAAAAAGACGATGCAAAAAGTTCATTTGAATAGTCCTTAAGTAGTTCAAGCGATTTTTATATTTCTTTAATAATATCATGATATGTATGCTGCAAAGTTTTGTTAAAGACCAAATTTAAGCTGCCTATCATTATGAAATGAAAATGCAAGTTAAATTCGACCTACAAAGTTTAGGTATATGTTGTACTAGGAATGTTTTTCTAAAATCAGTACAATAGTAAATAGACAACAATCTGAAAGAGCTTCGAAAATTACAGAAGAGAAAAATCGACAACGTTCATGATTGTTGTGAAAGTGTGCCACTATCGAGTGTTTGAGATGTTATAATAGTCTGTCTCATTCCACAAACGATAGCATGCTTAATAATGACTTAATATCTTTATTATCTGGAAAAAAATACTTCGAAATGCATAAATGTAGTCGCAACGAGTTTACAAGATTATTAGTAAAGATGCTGTCGTGCAGCATAAATCAAACAGAAAAACAATTATTTTTATGCGTATATTTACCAAATATCACTTCTTCAAACACGAAAAAGAGACGAAGCCAATATGATTTGCACATTATTGAGACATAAAGTTCGACATTTTTTAAAGACTTTTGCATCGGCTTACTAATTAAAAATTAAATAGCAAATAACTATCATCAAAAATTAGACAACTTTATTTGTTATTCGTCCTACCAGTACTCAATTGGCGTTCGACATCAGCTGCAGTTGTTGACATTGAATTAAGTGATCAAGCAAGCTTTTATAAGACAGCGGAAATCTATCGTCACATCTCATACAGTCTCGTACTCATCTCGCTGTCGAATATCTTGCCATCCTGCGACGATGTAGTCTAACTCGATAGCTTGCGAATTTCTGATATCTCGCAATAATACTTTTTCTCAAATATGACGAATGAAATCCTAATTGAAATTCTAAAAGCATTACGAGAATCGGAACGCAGAAATCGATAAAAGTCGTTCCCGCAGAATACTGGAATGTAGTACAATATTATGACCATTTCGCTAACCTTGAATGAATATTCTCATTAAACATCTTTGAGAAAAAATTAAAAAGTTTTTTTTTAGATAATAGTTGTATGCCTTTTGATCACCGAACTTTTTTTTGTATCGAATTTATCTTATTTATTAATTATGATTGGAGTTTTATAACACTTCATATGGGGTTAAAGGCTTTCATATTCAAAATCTTATTTTATGATGTTTAATGTTTTCAATTTATTCTTTAAAAGACTGATTGCTCGGATTTATATTTTCGATAGTTTTATTAAAAAACTTCCGGTATCCGTTTCAAAAGCCAATAGATAATTTACGGCTAATAGAAAACTTGTGAAATGTCATTCAAAAAGATTTATAAAAATATGAATTTAATTTATTACATGATGTTAAATAAAAGATTTTAATGTAGAAAAAAATGTGAGAAAATGCTCAACAGTATTCCAAAAAGGTTAAAAGCAATCGTCCGAAAGCAAGGTCAACGCATCACACAACTCATTTATTCATATACAAAATGTCAATCTATTCGACTTCTGTATCATTTAGATATTTTATTCAAAAAAAAAATTGTTTTAAATTTTTCTCAAAAAATGTAAATTTAGATGACAGCTCTAATCTTCCGCTACAAAATAACATATTTCAATCAATTAATCATATATAGGTTTCTCCTAGATATCCTCAATTTATTGAAAGAATTCGAAACGTGTTGACTATCTTTGATGTATTTGATAAAACAAAAAGTATGATTACATATTATATCTATATGCATCGATTTCATGAGTTGTGCATTAAACTAGTAATCAAAAAACATCTTTTCAACAGTTGTACATATCGTTATTGAAGAATGTCAGGTGAAATTTCATAATTATTGTTTATAATCTTGTCGGATAACAATAGCAAGAGCGTATATGTGTAGTTGGCAGATATGACAACGATTGCTTTATGTATGCTGTAGCACATGTGGTTCTCTTATGCATGCTCTTCATTCCCAACACTTTTGCTCCTCTTTTATCCGATGATATGTCAATGAAGAAAAAAAAAGAGGGAGCGAGGACGTTTTTTTCTTCCTCGTCTATTATTTCCTCTCACATGCATGCATTTTTTTCTTTCGTAGTGTTCTCTTTCCGAGAATGAGAGACCAATAAAAACGTCACTATCATGACAAAGTTTTCTCGAAGAAAAATATTTTTATTCTGAGTATTATGCTTACTTATGTTCATCGTCATAGAGAACGTGAGAAAAAAAAAGGTGAAAGAAAAATGTTTGACATTGATGGAAAAAACCGCAATCATGCTGGGATTGTATGATGAACAGTAAGAAAGATTTATTTAGATGCTTTTTATAACAACTATTATACAAGTAGCAATAATTTTCAATTCTTTTTTTGTTATTTTGTTCAATGTTATATACACTTGACAAATATAATAACTCGTCTTATTCATTATTACACACGGTTATTAACGTTATTTCTGTGATGGGTGTTTACGTATGCGTATGTGATGTAAGTTCTATCATACGGTAAGAGTTATTATTAAATCTAGCTTTGTTAAGCAAAAAATGAAGTCGACCAAAAATCAATCAACTTCTATTTATAGCTTCGTATAAGAAAGAAACTGATAGATATGAATTTTATAGATTATGGCGATTAGTTAAGTACGTGATATATACCATACATAAATGCCAAATTCTACTAATCAAATGTATATGACAAA